TAGGAGGGTTCTAGAATCTCTCTCTTGTTCAACTATTGAACAATTACAATTTAGTCCTTGTACTGCCAATTAGTTCTAATTAACCAAAAACTAATTCCAACTAATTTCAGATTAATTCTAAATTAATTATAACTATTTCTAAATAATATATTAATCATATAATATATTAATAAATTATCATATGTCTCCAAATGCAATTCTTCTCAGCTGCTAGTTCCGAGGGCAATCCAAAATGGACTTTGCTTCTAATTCAAGAATATACCAATTTAGTTATTAGGTTAGACACATTAATCTAACACAAAGTTGTCTATGTCAAGACAAGTAGGCACTTGGTTGATCCACTTACCAAACCTTTGATGAAATATTTGGTTACATCTACCATGAGAGTCATGGCTCTAAAACCACAATAGAATCGTTTAGTGATGGAAACCCAACTTGACATTAGTGATCATAACTCTTAAGTTTAAAGGGGATCAACAAAGTTACTAATGATAGAAGGTACTATCATTAAAGATAGATCCATGTGAGGTGGGATAATATGTCGTTATCGAGAACAAGGTAGAGTTAAGACTCTTAACAAAGTTTTGGAGACATCTAAGCAACAAAGATGTTGTAAAACTTTAACAATATGATCTAGAGGTGGTACCACCTCAAGTGAAGATTAATGGTTTATATTCTACAGGGCCATGAAAAGGGTTTATAGTGCATGACCATATTAGCTCTTAGAGAGAATGTAAAGATGGAAGGTGATGTGTGGGGATAAATCCGAGATATCATAAGGTTTGTGGTTTAAACCTATAAGTATACCAATGAATCAATTTCTTCTTTTTTGTCCTCATTAAACCAGGGTTTAATCTTTGTCTACCCAAGTGACATCATCTGTCTGAGTGAAAAGAAACTTTCCAACTTTGTGGGGGTTGTTGGAAATTATAGATGTATAATAAGAAGTTGGCTAAGTTATCGTTACCCCGTATTGGTGGGGGAAGAAACATTTTGTGGGTTTATATTGGTTTTCTCTTGATAGGGATTTAAAGGCTTTAAGTGGATCAAGAGATGAGCCAAGCCCACACACACATACCTAGTCTAGCCGAGGACGTGAATGTGCGAAATGGTATGATATACACACACTTAGCACTTGGCTCGTCGCTTTAATCGTTTGGAGTTGTGAAACTTTCATTTTTGGCGAGGTTCGGGTCGGATCGGGTTTGACCGACCTGGTCAAAGAGTTAACGAACGTTAACTTCATGGATGAGAAGACAAAATCTTCTATAAATCCCCTAGAAAAGATTGGATAGACTTTAGTTTGAATTTGAATAAAAGTAGATAATGATATCTGGTTTAAAATTCAAATCATCACCAAGTTTGATTTTTTGGGGGCCTTTAGGGTTTTAGTTCCATTATAAATAGTAGGGATAAAAGTGGGTCCAAACTCGAACCGGATGGACCCGGAAAACCCGGAACCGGTTAATGGGATTTTGTAGGACCGGAAACTGGACCGTGATATAGGAACCGATTTCAGTTCGGTTCCGGGTATGGTACCGGGTAAAGTGGGTCTAGAATCGGAAAACTCGAAAACATTAAAGTGGGTAGGGTGGAACCGAATAAAGTGGTTTTAGAACCGAAAAACCCAAAAAAACCATTTTTTTTTTGGTAATTACTTACTACTTAGTGGGTTGAACTTTGAAAATTTTCATATTGATATCCAGTCTTCGGGGGACTGTAAGTCATTGAATATGAACCCAAAATTGACAAACTTATAGTCTAAAATCATGTACAAACTCTAAATTATACTTTGAAAAAAACCTCATGTCAATATGATTTTAAACGAATGAGATATGCATGTTTTAACATTTTAACAAAATACAAAGTAGAAAAACAAATAGCTGAAAAGTTGAAAATTTTCAGCTTTGATATCCCGACTTTAGGGGATTGTAATTCATTTAATATTAAAAAAAATACAAAATTATAGTCTAAACTCATGTACAAACTCTAAACTACAAGTTGGAAAAAACCGCATGTTAATCCGACTTCAAACGAATTAGATATGAATGTTTTAAAATTTTCACAGAATACAAGAAAGCTAAAAAACTAAAAACTTCCCGCTTTGATATCTCAACTTTGGGGGACTGTAAGTCATTGAATATAAAACTAAAAATGGCAAATATATAACCTAAAATCATGTACAAATTCTAAACTACACGTTGGAGAAACCGCATGTCAATCCGACTTGAAATGAATGAGATATGCATGTTTTAAACTTTTCATAGAAAATGGTTCTGACACCTAAAAGTGGTTCCAGTTCCTAACATTGGTTCTGGTTCTTAAACCTGGTTTATCCGGACCCGATGGACCCAAACCCGGATTACCAGAAACCGGGTAAATCCATTCTTTAAACCTAGAACCGGAACTAATTCTATATATTCCGATTCTAACGGTTCTGACCCGATTCCAGTTCCGGTCCAGTTTTAAATCTTATCCCTAATAAATAGGACCTCCCATGTACCATTTACACACATCAAAAATTTGCAGCTCTCTCCTCTCTATCAAGCAATCGTAGTTTCTTCCCGTTTCTGAGTATTTACTTTGTGTTTTCCATAGCTGTTGAAAAACTAATAAGTTTGAATTAAATCTAGATGTTTTACTCTATGGTTTACAACCTAGAAGCGAAGTAAAAACATTTAAGTACAAAAGACAGATCCATGTAGTTTTCTACAATCAATACCGGTTATCAGATAACTAGATTGGTTTTAATTTCTTGTTTTGTATTTAAATTCGCACAACAACATGGCAGTCTACTTCTTAACATTTATCAATAATTGAATTATTTTTTGCAATTTCTTAACATTTAATCCTTGATATTAATCGTTAGTTGCTTGCTTTTGTGAAAACGTTTTGGATATTTAATCATAAATAGTATCATACAATGGTTTGTTTGTGGATACTAAACAGTTTGTAACTAGTTCATAATACTAATTATTGGATTGTTTAAATACTAAGTTTTGAATTTCAATAATAAAGGTGAGGTAGAATAAACAGGCTCATGATTGACAATATTTAGTTGACGAATCCTACTCTTAAAAAAAAAAGGAGATTTGGTGCTTTTTCTCTACTAAATTCAGCGACTTTGTTATGGTGAATGTTGATGGGGTGCATGTATAAAGTGGTTTCAAAGCTTCTTGTCTTATAACTTCAAAAAGGTCATTGGAAAAATTATTGGACGAGAGTAGTCGGCATATGTTGAAGGTAGATGTATTCTTGATGGGGGCTTGTTATTAGTGAGTTATACGCTTGGGTTAAAAAGGTAAAGGAAAAAGTTTTGATTTTTAGAGTCGATTTTCATGAAGCTTTTGATTGGTTTATTTGGGAATTCTTGAATTCTGTTTTGGAGCAAATGAATTTTGGTTCTAAATGGAGAGGTTGGATTAGAAGTTGCCTCTCTTCAGGTACGCTTCTATCTTAGTTGACATATCGGCTACCAAAGAGTTTGATATATGGAATGTTGTTAGACATGGAGATCCACTTTCTCCTTCTCTTTATTCTAGAGATGGAGGGCCTATCTATTTCTATGAAAGGAGATTGTGATCAACATATCCTCCAAGGTATTTCTCTTCCTAATCATGGTCCTAAGTTGTTTCATCTCATGTATGCAGATGATGTCACTTTCATTGAATAATAATTTCCGGTTAATTTTATTAATCTTTATGGTGTTCTAAGCTGCTTTTATCTTGCTTCCGGATTTAAAGTTAACCTTTACAAAAGTAAGGTTTATGGCTTTGTTGAAAAAGATAATGTTTAGATTGTTAGACTTGATAGTGTCATGTTTTGAGCCCAATTGCTTCCCTTTCACTTATTTTGAACTTTTCATTGTGCCAACATGAAACTTGCAAAGAATTGGAGTCGTATTATGTATAAATTTAGGTCTGAATTTCCTAAATCTTTCGTTCTAAACACTCACTCTTCCTCTCTATTACTTCACTTTACTTAAAGCGCCAAAGAAAATTTTGGATTTATTGGAGAGCTTGAGAAGGAGGTGTTTTACTTTTTTACTTTTTAGGGTGGTAATAAAAGCAATAGGAAGATAAATTGGCATGTTAGTTTAAATATGATTCTCAATTTCACAAATTAATTATGATTTTCAAGAATTAGGGATCTCTTTAAATAACCTTTTTTCATAGGCATATTTGTGCTGGATATCGTACCCTTTTTTCTAAAAGGATAAGTGTTGTGAAAGTGTGGCTCTTAAAAACCAGTACCCGAGTCTAACAAAGATTACTTGCTTTTCTTGGGTTTGTAATTTGTTGTATATTTTTCTGATTATTATAATGTTATTATACAACACACTTGATAACGATACATAATAATCAAACATCTATAATAAATGTAAACTTAAAATCGGTAATGGTATTGGGATCGGGTATACCGGTACCAACACCGCCTAGAACGGGTTTTAAGAGCCCATTTTGTTAGAGCATATGGTACAAACATTTTGCAATCAGAATTGTAAGTCCACTTGATATGTTACAGAGACATGCATAAAATTTAAACTCATGTGTTTGCAATCATAAACTATGTATATGTAAAGTGTAAACATGTTAAACGATGTATATGTAATGATTTTTGAACTTTAAAATTTACAAGTTAAAACAATTTACTAACACTTTGTAAAGTATGTATATGTAAACATGTTAAACGATTTGGACTAGAATATGTAAACTACAAATTTCTTACAATTTAAATGAGTAAAACTAAAGCCCCATGAATTCATCAACTCCATTACTAGATTTCACGTAAAACAGATGTATGTTTCATCAACATACAAAGAAAAAAAACTTATTTGATGAGTTGGGTTCATGGTTGGATTTTTATGTAAAACAGCAACAACAGTCGTCCACGACATGGAGTATTAGTCCTATGTGCTCATTACTAGTTCTAAGAGAGTATTTCTATAATTTGACATTCATAAAATATCAAATGTTTCAGCACCACTCTTATGTATTTAACTAGCCTTTAAATGCCATGCATTTAACTCTTGAAACTTTACTACAATAAATTCTTATGGATCACAATCTAATTATAACGAGGATGAACACTAATTAGCATTCTTTGTTTTTAGATTTGAACACGCGGGACAAACATCCTATTGTACCTATGATTACGATTCAACATTGTAATTGACAGGTCATTAATCTCATATATTGAGTCATGCATGTTGATATTTGATACTAGTTTAATTATGCATTAACATAAGAAGTCTAGTTTTCTTATAATACATGGAGTTGTTTAGTCTTCTTGTTTTCTCTTTTCTAGTATTCTCCACTCTTACTTTAACAGTGGAAGAGGCTTCTTTAATCATGAAGACTAAGCTTTAATGGTTTTTATATGTCTTGCCGTCTTGGATCCTTCCAAGTTGGATAGCGGTAGCCTATATGCATTCATTAAATAAAATGAGGTTGGTATAATTGTCGATGTATAAATTTGGAAACCCCTATGTATATTTTTTGAAACAAAGATTGGGATTTCTCTCTCATAGGGTATAATTGTCATTCTATAATATTTTCAGTGGAAAAATCAAAATATTATGTGGATTTATCAGCTCCCAATTTCAGAACTAAATACGCATATAGAAGTGTTCCCATGTAAAATAGAGACTTAGAATATATACATAACATCCCAATAAAAAAAAAAGTATAAAAATTAATATGAAGCTTACATAAAGTTGTGAAATCATTGGCCAATTTTCCTAGAAGTTAACTTATCTCCATGTAGTGTAATCTTCCAGCAATCAATTTGGAGCATAAATACAGATACCTTCTTCACTACAACTGAAATTTCAAATTATAAACCATTATATAAAATGATGGAAATTTTATATAAAAAAATAAAAGATTGCTTTTTTGTAAAAGAGAAGATAATTACCTTCGTATTTATTATCTTTTGTGATTATTCCAAATGTCTCTGCCGTTTCACGAATCATGATCCCACTCACTCCAGTGAACCCATCCATTTTGCATTGCGCAACTTCAATAAACAAAAAGAATTTCACAATTTTTTTTTTAATGAAATATAAATATATTCAGAATAAAATATAATTAATAAAAATATGAAATTACGAGTTTTAACCTAAAATAAATGCACCATGAAGATCTGCACCAAGAAGACATTGAGCCATTTGGCTTTTCCTGAATCATTCATCAGAATTGCAACAAAATCAGAAAAATAAATATTAATCATTTACAAATATGGTCCCTGTGGTTTTCACTTTTTACCACGCTCAGTCCTTTTTTGTAACCTTTTTCAGCTTTGGTATCCAATTTGGTACCTGCCCCAAGTTAAAATGACCTTTTTACCCCTTGTTTATTAATAAAACGAGGGGTGGGTTTGTGTAATTTACTCTAAATAAAACTAAATCAAGACAACATTACATTAATAGTCCCTGTGCTTTACAAAAAGTCACGGCTTCAGTCCCTAACTTTTTTTCTTGAGAAGGATAGTCCTGTGGTTTCAATTTCTTGAGTAGTTGGTCCTTTTGACCCATGTAAAATGACTTTTATACCCTTTTTAATGTATTTTTCTTTTTCTTTAATATATTCATAATTTAGAGTAAATTACAGAAATGGTCCCTGTAGTTTGTTCCAATCTTTTAAAAGTTAAAACTTGGTGTTCCCATGGTTTCAAACAATTACACCATTGGTCCCTTTTGGCTTTAACAATAAGAGATTAAATATTAAAAATGACCAGTTTGCCCTTTATACCACAGGGACCATTTCTGTAACTTACTCCAAAATAAAATTTAAAAAGTAGTAAAAAAGAACTCTTACCCAACACTCTTCAAAAGTTGCATTATATACCCTTTCCAAATTTCATGCATCGGTTTAAACGTTTCAAAGCTGTAAACAATATAAAAATAAATATTTTTCAAAACAAAAAAATATAACTTCTAACAAACATAAATTTAAAAAAAAAAATAAAAACAAAAACTAACTTATGCTGCTCTTGAGGCAAATCCAAAGACCCGTATTTCTTGTGTTGTTTCATCGACATGTGTTTTTTTGATCTTTTTGAGTGGCTTTGTAACGCTTTTTTAAGTGTAATAATTCCAGATTTTTTATTGTCTTTTATTTTATTATCAAGATGAACACGATTATCAATTTTCATTCTTCTTGATCCTTGCATGTAATTTTGAGCAGAATCTCCACTTTGTAAAAGTTCATGTAAAATCTTGTCCACTACATTTCCCTGTATAAATTACTTATTGAAATACTTTAATAAAAAAAATTGGAAAGAATAAATAAAAAAATAAAGACCTCAAGATCCGACTTTGCTAAATTCTCATGTACAGGGTGAGAGAGTGGAAGATATATAGGATGATGATCTTCTTCAACATCTGTATAATTAGGCAACAAAAATAATGATTGACCTTTGACTTTGACTTTCTAAAACAAAATCTAAACAGAATATAGAATTGTAGTTTGCACCTCTTTTAGTAGTTTGCACTGAGAAAGAATATTTGCCTACAAAGATTAAAAGTATTATCAATTTCAAAGAATCCAACGAAATTAAATATAAAACCATATAAATTTTATAGCTCAATAACCTTTCTTTGATGTGGACTTAAAATCGGGAGAACTTTCTAGAATTCTCTTATTGTTCTTGTGTTTTTGTTGCAACTGAAGCTCATGAGCTTCTCTTCTTGCTATTGCACCAAATGCACGATTTTTTGAATCTTCCATGGTTGTGTCCTTTGTCAATTCAGATTATAATTTTTCAGTGTATCTACATTAAACAAAAGTACAAATTTAAATCACATATTCTTTAAAAATACTTTGTGTTATTTTCTATAACCTCAATTAGGTCTGGTATTTCATACATTGAAAGAAGCTAGGCTTTTGAATCTCTAGCAAATCATTTAGGTTTATCTTTTGAATCTCTAACAAATTAACACCCGATTCTCCCTGATACATAAGAAAAAGAAATTTACAGAGATATCTTTGAAAAAAAATCCATGGAAGTAGGATGCTAAAGATTACACCCAATATTAAAAAAAAAATACAATGAAAACTAAAGAACCTAATATTTCATTATAATTACTAGCCAATAGTTTGCAATCATTCCAATCGACTGTGTCATCTTCGCTATCCAGGTATCAAACCTGACTTCCCAATCTCAATATCGAGCCATTCGCTATCAACATGAAGAAAAATAGAATTGAAATTCACTGAATCAACAAATAAGAATTCAATTTTGACTTTTTATGTTTGACTCCGATGAACACAATTGACTCAATTGCGTTCGACTCCAATCAAACAAGGGGTAGGATCAAAATTGTAATATAATTGTAATATAACCTAACAAGTAGCAATCACTTTGATGAACAGGGGCAACAACACAAGGGGTAGGATCGACAAAATCAAGCCAAAAAAATTGATGGAGAGAGCGAGACAAAATGCTTACTTTCACCATCGTGCTTGAATGCTGTTTGGGATTGGGATTGAAACAGAATAATCGAGTTTTAAGGGAAAAATAACCTTACCAAAAGTTGAGTTGTCGACGAGGGACCTGGAAGGCTTCGGCGATGACGGCACTGGCGTAAGATCCGGCCGGCTGGTTCCGAAGATGGAGTGGGTGAGGGAACGTCGTGTGTATTGAAAAAGAAGAGGGAAAGTGGGGCTGAAATATTAAGGGAAAACCCGGAGATGATGCCGGAGGCGATGCAGCTGGAGCAGGGGACGAAGGCGCCACAGGCGAATCCGACGGCGGCGTCAGGAGAGGGGATCGGAGTTGTAGCAGTGTGGAGTGGAGGAGAGGCGTCGTTGATGGTTCGGAGGGGAAAAAGAGGTTGCGTCGTTGTGGGCAACAGGAAACACGCGTGCCCTTTTTTTTTTTTTTTTTTTTTCGATGAGAGGTGTTTTTTAATTTAAGTGGCATAAAATAATAAAATAAGATGCTATCAAAGATCCTGAATTTTTTAAGAGGTTACCTCTTAATTTTTCAATTAAAAGGTAAACAAACAGCTTCGTCAAAAGAAGTAACGTTTCTAGGGCATCACAATTGGCAGAAATTGGAGTTGTGGGCTCACATAAATCAGATCAAATAATGGCCTCAAAGTAACAATTCAATTATGGGGTTACCACGCTTAACAAAAAGACACTTGTATCGTCGGGTGTAAGCGAGACTATCACTTACATACACATCGACTATTACTGTAAGACACAAAAGGAACTGAAAGCTGGAAATCGACTGTCACATAGATACACCAAGACACAATATGAAATCGAATATTACTGTAAGAAAAAGAAAGAAATATGGACTTACAAGTACAACTTCAATCGTATGTATGTGTCGTTCTCCGTTCTTACTCAGCAACCATCGATGAAGTAGAGGCCGACGATTATGAATGGTGGCGATTAAGGATGGTGGAGCAGCGGCGACGAGCACAGATAGTGCACCGGCAGGCGACAACCGGTATGTGGAGCAGCGGAGGAGATGCTGGCGAATGGCGATTTGCGTTTTGCGATTTGTGAAGGTCTGAACGATTGGGGTAGGGGATAAGGCAATAGCTGATAGCTAAGGGAATAAAAGGATCAAGGTGTTTGGATAGGAAAAAAAAGTGTTTATTGTTTATTCCCATAATAAGCTAATTTGAGTGTTTTGATAAAATTCAGCTTATTAAACTAAATAAGGTAATTTTAATAAGCATCCCTTCCTATGCTTATTGCTTATTTCCACCACAAATAAGTTATAAGCAATAAGCTAAAAAGCTAATCCAAACACCCCCTAAGGGTTTTTTGGGTTTAGGAATTAGGACTTTAGGATGGATCGACGGATAGAGATATCAGACGGATAGAGATATCAGAGATTTTTTAGTTTTTTTTTTTTTAATTATGTTACTAGGTTATAAGGCACCACGGATAAGAATTTTAAAAGTAATTTTAATTAAATTATAGCATAATTATTAATATAATAACATGTGTTTGATGGTGTTAAGTTGTATTTTTATTTTTGTACATTAAATTGAAAAAGACAAATTTATCCTTATAACAAAAAAGAAAAAAAATAATATGCAATTAAAATAAAATTTGTAGATTGTTTTGTATATTGTTGTCAAACAAAGAAAGTGGAAGTCGATTTTATGTTAAATTTCGTTATCAATTTTATTTTGTGAAACAAAGATCATATACGCATTGTGGGTTATTTTAAATGTTGTTATCAATTTTATTTGATAAGAGGATAAAATTGAGTTTAATTTCTACCAAAATGAGACATATTAGATAAATAAATTTTAAATACAATTTCTGTTTTTCAAGGATATTATACATTTGAATATATTGGTGTGTAGAGAGTAGCTTTCAAAAACAGAAGCACAATTTTAGGGATTAAATTGAATTGAATTCCTTATATTAAGGGATATTTACCAATTTCATTAAATCAATCAAAGAAGAGGATATATGAGCGGGAAATTTATTAGTAAAATGCATTGATATTTTGCCACGTGGCAAACCATAGTTGTAAAAGTTTGACATGTGGACAAACAAAGAGTATTTTATTAAGAATAGATTAATTAATGATTAACAATTAATAAATTGAAGAAATGGCATATATGTAAATTACACTAAGCTCGACTAAGCTCGCGAGCCGTACAAGATGAGTATTTTAGTACTCGAGCTCGACTCGATAAGGTACTCGAGTAGCTCAAGCTCGAGCTCGGCTCGATTAAGGTCGAGTCGATTTCGAGTATTTTTCGAGTCGGTCTCGAGTTTCTCACGAGTTGGCTTGTCTCGCTTACACCCCTATATCACCCAAATCAATAGTCCGATACTAGGTACTAGATGTAGCCTTTCCATCAGGCAAAATGTCTGATATTTATAACGTTCTGATAGTTAAGGGTCGAGATACTGCTGATCAACCAATTAATGTGACTTGTGAGGTACAACAATTATTAGGAAACAATTGAGTTAGGGTCGTAGCTATGAGTGATACAGATGGTCTAACGAGAGGGATTGACGTAATTGATACAGGAGCTCCATTAAGTGTTCCGGTCGATGGAGCGACTCTCGGACGAATTTTCAACGTGCTTGGCGAGCTTGTTGATAATTTAGGTCCTGTTCCTATTCATAGATCTGCGTCTGCCTTTATACAGTTAGATACAAAATTATCTATTTTTGAAACCAGAATTAAAGTAATAGATAAGACCTAGCCCTATAAGTCTGGTAAGGATGTCAAAAAATCATGTGGGGCCCCGATCCCGAATGGAGAATATTTGTTTAAAAAATCGGGGACATGGGCGGGGGAGGGGGCAAGGTTAACCCCCATTTTAATTTCGGGGACGGCGGCAGGGATATGCAGTCTCGTCCCGAACCCTCAATGGGGACCCGGTTAATATATTATCTTTGTTAGTATATATAACTATTATTAAAATATAATAAACAATAACAATGATTTTGAACTTCCAAAATTTAACAAAAAATCATGTTTTTAAGTTGTTAGTATAACGTTTTTGAGATGTTATAATATTTTTATTTTAAACATATAAAATTATGATATAAATAACTATTTTTACCTAAAATGGTTTCTTTTAGTCCGAAAATAACTTCTTTTAGTCTAAACAACACCTTCTTTCGACCAAAAAAAGTCAACCCAAACGGGGGCAGGGGTGGGAGGCTAGAGAATTCGGGGGCGGGGGAACGGGAAAAATTCGGGGGTGGAGGCATGAGATGAAATCCACTCAAGTCTTAAACACTCAAACTTAACTTGTTTATTTCATATGGGCAAAAGCCCTATTTATATGCTCAAGAGAGCCGGTTACATAATTGAGTTGTAATCGTTTGACTGCAATACGACATAAATATTTACAATATAGCCCCCTAGACTATTGAGGGTTATACACTTTATTTCACATCCTAGACACTAATTTTTGACAACAATAATTATAAATACAAATGACAAATAATTACAATCCTTCCATAATGAAAGGACACGTGTCTTCAATAATAATGACTTTTTACGTCATTGTTTTCGTCATTCCTCCCGTCACCGAAAGGACATATATTTCTGAATGATGTGTAGCACCTGGTTCCTGGTACGCATTCCTTGTAATTAATATTTCCTAATTTAATGCAATTTGCCTTAGACTCGAAGAGTTGAAGGACCAACTCGCTGAGTGGAAGCGGGATGAGACGTAGGGTCTGAGCCTCGGACTCAACGAGTCGGTTCCCATACTCGGCGAGTAGGCCCTATTTGGGCAAAAACCCTAACCCTGGTGTTTGCACCCTATTTAAGCACTCTAACTCAGCCTCCCTTATCCGTAACACTTCCAGAAGAGCTGTAGAGCGAAACCCTAGCCCCTTTTTGTTTGTGAGTGATTTTGGCCTTGTGAAGGAAGTTTGAAGCTCAATAGAAGAAGAAGGAGGTGGAAGAGTGCAAGGAGGAGAAGTAGATCCGACATCTACCCTGCAAGAGGCTTCCATTCAGGTAGAAAAGTTCCTACCTTGATAACTAGTTCATTAGATCCCCTTTTTGTCTCTAATTGGTGGTTTTCAAGCCCTAAAACACCAAACTCCATGTGTTTGTGCTTTATGAGCCAAAAGGACTTCAGATCTGGACCTTATGGACGTATTAGAAGTATAAAGTTTCAGTGGTTGAAGGAAATGAGGTCCCCATTGAGTGTATGACCTCATAAAGAGCTTGGATTTGCCTTTTTGAGCTTATAGGGCCATGCATGCACATAAAGTTTTCAACTTTAAGTGATAAGCATGCCCTAGGAACATAGTGATGGGTTTTGGTCATAAGAACATCCTATGTGCTCATACAAACCCTAATGCTTGGATCTAGGTTTCTCTATTGTACATGCAATTTATCCAAAACTATAAACCCTAGATCTAGCATATGATAATCAATATAACATATAATTTGGGTTTAGATCATACCTTGATTGTTATGTAGCCATAACAATCACAAATCCTCCTTGTGATGACTTTAGAAAGCTTAGAGTCACAAGTGTCACTCCTCTAATGGTTCACAAACACCAAGAGCAAGAGGATGAAGAAGAGAAGAGAAGGAGGCTGCCCAAAACCATCCAAAACCCTAAAAAACAAGTTCCTTTCTTTTTTGGGGCTTAAGGGTACTATTTATACATGTAGGCTATTAGGGATTTAAACTAGGAAACCCTAATCTGACTGCTTAAGCCCTAAGCAGCCCATGGATTCCTTTCCTAAAGGCCTTGGACGATTTCTTATGGGATTCCCCATAGAATTCGTCCAACCTTATATAATAAGGTAATCCATAGCCCAATTGCAATTATCTTATAGTTACAATTCCAGTCCCTTAAGTTTAATTAATCTCTTTTAGTCACAAACTTAATTCTTATTAATTCTTGACTAATATTAATTAAACAATATGATTTCTCCTTTAATATATTATTCCCATAATATATTAATAAATCATATTTAATCCTTTCTCTCCATAATTCATCCTATCAAGTTGCTTTGGTGAAGGTAACCCAAAAGGACCATGCACCATCGGGTCAAGTACATAGCAAAATAGTTATGGACTTAGACACTAATCCAACAGTCTCCCACTTGGATAAGTCTAATAACTATTATGTATATGACTTCAGATCCTGCAATCGTAGCTTTCCAAAGCCTCTGTCAACTATGATCCTGTCAGATACGCGTGTCCTTTAGATAAGGGATCATATATTCCTCTATTCTAGATATCTTATAAGACATGATTTCAAATCATTCTTTCTGTACTATATCTCGACTTTCGATTTGTGACGACTGACTAATTGAACAAATCAAATTAGCCCTAGCCCGGCGAGCATTTACGTTTTTCATCACTAAACCATCGAGGGGCCCAAAGATATCGCTTTTATCCTACTTTGGATAAAAGGAACGGATAAACTTTGACTCAGTGTTCGCTTGCACTCACTCACCGAATCACACACAACAATATGTTTTATAACACCAAGTTACTAGTGCGTTTACATATTATCAATGTGCAACCGACTCGCAAGATACAACTCACACATCTCGGTTTCAAGAATATAAGATGTTATCGTCTCACTAATCACTTGTGATAAAAATCCATGAAGTGTTCCAAGTGAGTGTGGGTTTAATCCAATGCTCAAATCATATTCATAAGCACTCATGAACGTTGCAACAAACATATTCTTATGTCTAATACTCTTTTAGACATTCACACACCAATTCATGACAGTCTTCATTCATACATACTTCCAACATATGAACGACTGTGTCCCGTTCGAATAATTTGACTATTTTTAACCAATTAAATTATTCAGGAAGTCAAAACATGCAAAGTGAAACACAAGGATAATACTAATCCCATATGGCCCCAAACCCTTGAGTATAAATAAAACACCTTTTATTTATCACCATATCGATTACTCATTATTTGTCGTTTCGGGTAATCAACTTCTTACTTGAATTATAACACTTGTCCTATGCTCTCAGCATGCACACAATGTTTACCTATGGTTCTCACTTTGTGAAATAGATCAAATGAACACATTTCCAATCATACTCATTTCACAACTCCAAATCCTTTTTCATAAGTGTAAGAATATCAAATTCTTGCCACTTATAGAATATGTTAGATTCTAACATTTTATGCAAAGATCCTTTTGTAATGTTAGTGCACTAAAGTCACAATGACTATTGCCAATGAATTACAAAGTTCTCTATCGGAAATTGTTACAAGACAATTCCATAGATGTGATGTCTCTCACTCAAAGTACATTTCTTTGAACATCCTTTTGCATAAAGTTTCTAATCTAGACATAGATTCTCAATATCTAACTACCAATATGGAAACCTTTCCATACTTACCATATGACAACATATTCTTAATAGAATCTTATCTATTCATAATAATGTCGATATAGTCCATCCAATACTATACTTCCAACTACTCACAAGCGACCAATCCTTGGTGAACTTTGGATTGTCCTTTGATAGTTGTTTAATTATCTTAGTCAAAACCGATTCTTGTCCTTTTTGCCTCTAAATACACTAGACATTTGGAAACAATTTTAGAATGGTCAAATACCATAGCATTTTCAATCAATCTTATACCCGAAGCGTATAGGATACGATATGATACTTTATCAATCTTTTGCCATAATATTTTATGTGTCACATTCTCACAATTCGAACTATGAAGAGGGATGCCACAATCATAATCAAAATTTTGAGAATGCACTATGTACTCTTGACTAAATCTGTTAACATTCCAAAACCTAAGCCTTTAGATTTGAAATGAAGCATAATATTGTCTCCCTTAATTATAGCAAAACAACTATTCAACCCTTACAACTTCGTAAAGTATGACTCTTGTTTTCTATAATTAATATTGCTAACTTGCAATACTTGCCTTAATAATCATACAATCATAACATTTATGCTCCCACTATCATGATGATTATTATAAACATAACACTTATGCTCCCACTAGCTTTGACATGTATTCAGAAACAGCTTAACTTTCAGAAAACAATGCCTAT